ATTTTATGCATCCCCAACAAAGAAACAGCAAAACCGAAGTGAACTCTAACGTTTTATTTCCATCACAATTTTATATTCAAAACGGAAACCATTCGTGTTTACCAGAGAGTACTTGCCTTAGGTGCGTTTGATTATCTTTATGAACGACTATGCCTTGAGTTACTATGTGAACTGAAGTAACTCAAGGCTGAAATGAACGTTGAGGATTTCATAAACGCACAGTGAGTTGAAAATACTATTAAATGGAAAATATATATTATTCATTGAACACATCGAACAGAAGAACACAGCCTTGCAAAACATATGTTCTCAACAGCGCGTAATCTCACCCTACAGTTGGACGAAATCATTTAACATGCTATCTATTTTATAACATGTTTTAGGTATTTATATATAATTCATGTCTTAGCCAGCTTTAAAGATGGTTTGCCAGAATTCATATTTCATTACCAAATAACTCATTAAGATTTTATCACCGTTGGTTCAAAACTATATAGAGTTCCTCACTCTTTTTGTACTAAAAATGAACGTTGAGGAATCTTGTGAACTTGTTAACGACTTATGGCTAAGTTCAAACAAGCTAAGACTCAGGAAGACTCACTCACCCCTTATTAACCTTTATTTCACTCAAAGTAAGATCAACAGTTGTCCCATTTCTCGGGCTTACAACAAAGCCTCCACTCGGATTTGAACTCAAAATAAGAAATAAGAACTAACTAAAAGAAACTTAGCCAAAGTTAACACAAATCTAAAGTAGTTGGCCCTTAATTTAAACTAGCCGGCGAATATCAAAAGGCACGTACTATACGGCCGAGCATTACAGCTTCTAGAGAGACTTACCCCTAAGGCATACACGCGCTACTCAGTATTTCTAGCTCTCTCTTACGAAGTTGAACCTTCCTTAAATACTACTTCTAACTAATTTGCATTCAATGCGATTCTAAAATCTCATTCTGGTAGGGAGTTGTAAGTGGAAACAAGAATCGACAGGAAAGTACACTGAAATTAAAATAACTGTTATAAATCTAAAATGTACCTAACAACTTTCGTATGTGTTCAGTCTTGCCGTGCGTTTTCACTTGTGTGGTGATAATTAATATTTACATGCGTTTTCTAAACCGCGCATAGATCTTTTTCAATTTCCTTGAAGTATTCATTGCATGTTGTTGCTAGTAATGCATAATTTAATTTTTACAGATCTAGATTTAATTTTTACAGATTTTTTATATTATTATAGTATTGTAAGTTGGAGCACCCAACAAAAATAATACTAATGCTAAATCTGTTTATCAATAATAAAGTTGAAAAGATAAACGACCAAAAAAGGTTGCTGGTACAACGATCAGAATAACATGATTGACCTGTAGTGCCCATTGAGAGCAGGCAGAATAATAATAAATAAATATTATTATAGTCTCTAGAATACACCCAGTAATGAAACTGAAATAATATTATGAGCAGAACTCCTGGTTCTTCTAAAATGATTGTTTACAGCTGAACATGTGCTATTCTCATCAAATGGAGAAGACAGCATTTTGTAAAAATACAATAACGATGCAGGCCTACGAAAATGCGATCTGGAAATTAGTTCAAACGAAATTCATATAACATATTCGATAAACGTATGACACATTTATTACCGATGTAAGAATGTGAATAAGTTCTGCGAGAAAGAAGTAGGTATGGTTAACGAAACTGTAGAAAGTTTATTAAAGTTTTATCTGGCATAACGTTCTTCAGAAAGAAATAAAGTTTTGATTGTATAGTTTGCTTCTTATTTTTCACTAAATATTCTTTTACAACAAACATTAGCAACCTGTACCTGGCCAGCACCATTATTCTTAAGCCCTGCACTACCTCATATTGCTGTCTCGAAAAGATCAAGATTCAAAATTGGATTCATTTTATAAGGCATTTTTTCTCTCTCCTTTAGGCATGCCTTCGTGATATAGCATGTCCTGCTAGCGGGAAGTCCCATGTTCGAATCCCGGCGAGAGTACTGTACATTTTTCACGTTTCCTACTTCGAATAAACTAATGACTCTATAGCTTCGTCGCTATCATAAACAGAAAAAGCTTGACTATAGTCATCAAGAGACTTGCTTCGAGAGGTTGTTATTTATTTGTACTGCAAGTGAGTCAGTCAAGTTGAAATGATTATCACATCAGCATGACTTTCCTACACATATAATTTCAGAATTCAAAAAAGAAAATGTTTTCTTTTTCGTTGATTTATGCACTTATTGACACAAATTCTTGCTCTTTTGCTTGTATTCTGTCATGCCGAAACTGATGCTCTAGTCTTTGGGAATGTATGTGTACGTGTATCTGCCACGCACACAGAGCTATTGGCAGCCATCCGAGGATTATACACAAAAGTGACCTTCAGTGTGTTGCCACGTAACCTCAGAGAGTAAGTTATACGGTAAAAAGAAATGGGATCTGAATCCTGTCTTATTGCTACGAGATCTGTGTTGCGTGCTGTGTGTAAATCAATCAAGCAGTCAACAGGAGACGGTAGATGTTACCGAGCAATCTCGACCTTCTTGTCGAAGCGTGTTTGTCAATCCACGTTTACCGTCTAAGAATAAAAATGAAAAACAATAGCGACCGGTATGTAAGCGATCTTCAGACAATAGATTCAAGTATTTATCATGGCTGAGAACGTTATGCGTAAATAGTACATTTTGATGGTAACATCACGCTTGTAATATAAGCATTACGAGGAAGATCGGAATGTGAGAGATGATAAAGAAAATAAACATTGGGAGGAAGGTATCTGTGTGACATTTATATAAAAAATGCCATACAGTATGTAAATGTATATTTGCTCAAGCGTTATCCATGATCTCAGCACAGTTGCGAAAGTTAAATTTCTACTAAATAGCATTAAGATTACGCAATTACCATGCGTGTACATGAGATTCAAAGATTCATTTTGCTGATAGACACTAATAATTTCAAGCATACGGAAACTAATTTAGTATCTTTGAAATAACCTGCATTAATCTACATACAGCTGAATTCTAATTATTCGAATTAACGGTGATCTCAACCTCAGCCTATAAACAAAAGACCGTACCGCCAGAATTGGCTAACCGGTATCAACTAATAACTCATAATGATAAGAACCTCCCCGAATTAACGGAGAGAAGAGTCCGTCCGGATATTTCAAAAATCTAGGTAATTGGATTTTTGTGTGGGAAGCTAAATACATATTTACTTTAATGCAAGTGAGGATTTTTATTTTCTTTATGCATATTTTATAATCACAAAAAATAAAATATTTTTACTTCCATTTAACAAAATACATGAAATATTTTCTTTCGATAAAATTATTTTTTTATTTATCTACATCAAAAAGCTAACACAAATAGCTCATTACAGTTACACTGCATACTGTAAGGCAAAATTACGTAGAGAGAGAGGGAACTGACATAACGTCATCACATTTGTTTAGTCTGTTTCTTTTTAATGTTATGGCTAAGCATTGCACTACGGAATAAACAAAAATAATAGACTTGCAATGCAATACTGAACTAGCTTTACCGTGACATTTAAAGGCAATATTTTTGTCAAATTTTATTTATCACTATTCATAATATCATTGCTATTATAATAATTTCTTGATATTGTATATTATACATTTTATATCATAATTATATCTTTTTATATTTTAAAATCAAAGGAAAACAAGCCAAAAGTGTAAATTAAGAGCAAGTTTAATTTTATTTGCCTAAAAGGTAAGATAACCTATCCGGATAAGAAGATTTGCTGTTATCTGATGGTAAATGAGTTTGATTTTGGCCTTTAATACCTCGTTTGCCTTTAATCGTGGTCATGCATTATATCTGAGTAAAACATGATGTTTAAGAGTACCAAATCACCAGGGCCTTTTTTGAACTAAAGTAATCCTTTATCTCAGTTTTTATGATAGACTATAAAGTATTCAGACTTGGAATAAATTGTTTATGTGACCACTATAGGAAATCTATGAAAATGGCACAATCAACCACATCTGGAAAGCTATGAAAATAGGATAATAATCCATTATAGTAAATTATGAATGTGTGACTGCAGAAAGATTTGGCTGATAAAATTTATATGTCAAGGGCATTATTTGTAAATATAATCGAAAACAGCACTACTGTGTATTTGTGAAAATGCTGGAAATTTAAACAAAATGATAACACAGATGCATTAAAAGTTCATGGTAAAAAAGAAAATGTTGTATTATGCCTCTGTTAATATTCTAAAAGACAAAACATGAAATTTGGAACTTCTTTAAAATAAGCGAACGGTTCGTTATATTTCATGCTAGTATAGTTCGGCATTGCACACAAACACTGCATACATTAAAAATATCTCTTGACTACGTCAAAGAATATGAATCATATAACCAATATTAATACATCTTGACAAAATAATATTTCTTTCTAATGAAAAGGAATGCTCATCAGGTATTGAAATGATATGGTCCTCTTTATTTCGCATTGAAATTTATGCCAAAATTGTATCCAATTTAAACTTTACATATTTTTAGATTTCTGAGCTTTAAAAGGAACATATGCATGGTTAAACAGTATCTAAAAATGAAATAGTACTTAAGTGTAATTAGTCTTCATCTAAAAAATGTGGCTAATTCTTCCCCAAAATCTCTTTACTGCAAATAAAAGCAAAAATCCTTTTTTTCCCTTCTACATCATTGAGATAGTAGTGCAAGGTTTTTTTTAATGGCATCCATGCTTATTTCTTTTAATGGAGATATCTATTATTAATTAACTTCAAGATTTCGAATAAAAACGAAAAACATAAGAGAATTAGTTTGTTATGCTCATTTAGTAAATTTATCACATTCTGATCTGCTTATAATCATATTACACAAATCATGTTGACATTCAAAAATATTCAAAAAAATACTCTAGTTTTTGCAAATTAGCATTATTTTTAATTTCTGTTTCTAATAAGCTTACCTATCAAATATTTTTCTTTATTTTACAGGTAGCACCCTCGTGTGTGATTGTAGAGTGAGATGGATCGTCGAGTGGGTTCAGAAATATGATCTTCAAGTAACAAGTAGAGAAAGAAACCCTCAATTTTGTGGTCGACCGACAAATTTCCGTAGGAGAATCCTACCGCAGATGTCACCAACTGAATTTAAGTGCGACAATGAATTTTCCAGCAGTAGCACTGTGGTGACTTCTTTACCAACAACTATTACTTCACAGACACAGCTTCCGTCCCAGCGTCCTACTGTCGCTGCTAGCGGCCGAGATTTAAGGGCCCCCAGAACATCCTCCCTTGAGCAACTTCGATTAACTGAAGTCATAAGACGAGGCACTGAACTAACCGTAAAATGGGAAGGCTACAAAGAAGATAACATTGTGCGGGCAAGATCAGCAACACCTGTTCATGCCATGTACCGTGTATTTGGGGAATCGCATTTCCAATTAGGAGGCACAGCTAATCCCACTTCTGGCTGGATCCAGTTTCTTGTACCGGAAAGTAAGCCTGTTGTCGTTTGTGTCGTTGACACTGCCCAAGCTGCTACCCTGTCTGCTAATTCCGTGCCCAGGAACCAGTGCAACGAAGTAGTGGCAGAAAAAGTTTCAGACTCGCAGCTAAACAAGATTATTATAGGCTCATCAGCAGCCGTTTGTGGCATGATCATCATAGCTGTTATTATATTCGTGTGTTGTTCTAGACGTTCTGGCAAAAAGCAGCCTGTTCCGAGACCTGTAATGAAATCAGAACACGAATGGGAGACTTCTTCTTTGTATAGCGGTCGAAGCATTCCCCGAGCTAGGGCTTATCATGGATCTGTCAACCCTTCTTACCTTCATGATCCACGAACACCAGATGATGTGCAATCTTTCCGATCATTGCCACCTGCCAGAGCTCACCGGGGAGGACACATGATGGGAAATAGGGACATGCATAATTCTCAAATTGCATTATCTCAACTGTCAGGCCATCATTCCTTCCTTGGGACTTATGGAGGGGAGCCACATCACAACGGCTGGAGTCAGCACCACTGGGACAATGGTGATGCTTATTCAGAGAGACATGCCCCCTCAAGGCTTTCTTATGGCAAAGATAATTTTAGTTAAATTATCATCCATTGTGCTCCATCCATTGCTACATTTTAAAATGTTTCAGGCTGCTACAAACAGCTTGTCGTACAAACATCTAATTTCTGAGCAGTTTTTCAAGAACTCTTGTGTATTATTCATGTGTCAGATTCAAACTTTTATCATATTCTGCATAAATAACTTTCACATCATGGGCAGCTAGCTAGCTTGAAGTTATGCAAAGCCAGATCATAATGGAATCTATAAATCCCGTGTTTGGACAGGTTCAGAAGTGTAAAATGATTTTATTTTCCTGTCTGTAATTGATGCTAAGAGAATAAATGAGAAAGGCATGATGACGGAATACAGAAATCATGGGAAATTTGGTTTAGGCGGAAAAACGAAAATGGAAAGGTTTAGGACTGTATCAATATTGTGAAGTTGCTAACATTTCTTTGTTGTTGTCTTAAGATATGTTGAATGTGAATCATTTCTCAATGTTTGGTGTAAAATCTTTTTCTTACTAATTCATAAAATCGATTTTTGATTCTGTTTGTGACATTACTCCAAAAATGTTCTTCTTGTGAGTTAAAATACTTAACTGTATTCCTCATTTAGGTTGTTTATGAAAAAGTTGTTGAGTTTCAAAAGACAGAAAAAAATTAATATTTTACTCTTTCATTGCTATTAGTGAAATACTCCTTTCCTACGTACTGGATAAAAAATTTCGACGCTTTTTTATCAGTTTTTCAAATTCTAGTAGCCCTATTTCTTTATTTAAAAATGCCAGTCAGTGTACTATACCCACTTTAATGCATATGCTATAGCTGTCAAACCAAAATCATAGAAAACTATTTTCGTAAATTAAATGCATAAACCCTCCAACTGACCATGCCGTATATATTTTGTAACATATTTTCAGAACAGAATATTTTTTGTAACACCTTTAAATAAGTAATATACCTGCATAGCCAAGAAATTAAAGCAGCATATTAAAAACAAACTTGGGCATAAAAATAAAAATGTTATTTTAATCAAGGAAATACCTCATTCTCACTGCAGTTTTGGAAAATTTATAGTTTCGAGCCAAATTCTTGGTTTGGCTGGCTGAAATACCTTTACTCCAAAAGTTGGCAAGAAGAGTAGGATCCCTCCTTCTTTCTTTAAAACGTTCTATAAAAAAATCTACCACGTTTTATTAATTTCGATGTGAAAAATTGTATTGTCATTTAACTGTCTACTCATCTAATATAAACTTAATAAAAATTCGGAATATCGGTAAAAATACGTAAAATTTCATAGCTTTCTGACTGATGGCTTTGTAACAAAAACATTTGAATTAATTATTTGTAAAATTTCCTTCCGTAGGGAGAAAAACGACTACAAATGAGCAAAACGGATCATTTGCACAAAAGGTAGATCATTTTACAGGTACATTGGGTCGGCCTTTTGGCATGTGTCCTTACTCTGTATTCTAACAATGCATTCCTTCAATACAAATACGAGTTTTATCTTAATTTTAAGTTTTTACCTCTATCCTTTAAGTGCCATTTATCGAAATTCGATTGGCATCTGAAGAAATCGAAAAGCTGCAGACGGAAAGTTTCACTTTTACTAATGTTATTTTTAATTGATTACTGAACAGTCATTGCCGTAGCAAGAACTTTTGACGTCCAGGGTGGTCCCTGATCTTGCCTCCCGTTCGGGACCTCGAATTTCCCGGCTCTCTTTACATATAAAAAAATAATTTAAAAGAAATGCCAAAATGATGTATTAGAAAATAAATATAAATTATTTTTGGAATTTTTACATTTTTATAATATTTTAAAATTATATCATTACTTTGCTTGCTTTTTTGTTCTCAAACCCATACCACAGAAGTCTACTTGGTCGCTCCAACTGTTCCATAGCGCGAAACTTTAAGACCATTTTAGTTTGAACAAGGTAAATTAAACCGCATTGGCAAGGAATCCTGTATATACTCCAGAAATGGTGTCCTTAAATATGGAATTGCGAATTTTATTGACAGAAGAAAAAAAGACTCAAATGAATCTTATCACTGTCTTCTCTTTCGTCATTTGCCCTTCTGCAGCTCAAGGGGAATGCTCTATATTTAAACCTCCGAAACTAGTCCAGCAAATTAATGAATATTACGTTTATTCTTGCTGATTTAGCTTCTCTAATAATTGTTATTTGACGTGTTATTTTAACTCAAATACGAACAACTTTAGAAATTAACTTTTAATTAGCAACTGAAGTGTTCTAGCGACATAAGAAATAATGCCAGAAAAACTATTTCTGATAACTGCAGTTATATTTGGCAAATGCAGTTAATTGAAGTTTTGAACGAAATGAATTTAATTTAAATAGCAGTTGCAATAAATTCAGTTTCTTTCTTTCCTTTTTTTCTATTTAAGTTTTTTGTAAAATATTTTTACATTTTTAGATATGCAATTGCTTCCCAAGTATTTTTTATGTACCTTATAAAATAGTTTCTTTATGCTTTTATTAAATGATGTTTTACTGAGAATTATGCCTACTTCAAAAATGTATTTATAATAATTTTGTTGTTATTTTATTGTATTTATTGCGGTTTCTGTTTTACACTTGGTTAACTAAAGTAACTTCTCGCACCTTTTATTTTTGATCACTTCATTACAGATTTTAAGATGAAGAAAAATTTATAAAATCTAAACTGTGAAGACAGCATTTGTTTTACGGGAAGAAAGTTACAGAATATAAAATTTAATACTTTGCTTTGCTTCTTCAAAATGAAGTGGAATTTGTTGCGTATGCAAAAACAGCAAACTAAAAATCTAACTTACATTTTCTTAACGTATAGTTTCCTTTACTCTATTTTATATATTCGCATATATCTATTCGATGAGTAAAGGAAATTTTTCTTTATGCAAGCATATGTAAAACAAATTATTTTCGTGACTGGCAGTTCTAATGTAAGTGACCAACCCACACACAAATTATACCGATTAAAAAATTATTGCTACAACGCAGGAATAAATAGGAATACAAAATTTGAAATGGCTGGAGTGTTGGTGGAGAACTAATGAGAGAGTAAACTAATTGTACTTTTTACATTATTAGCAATCATTGCGAGTTTTCACTCCTAAACCATATTTATTTAAATTATAGCATCATCTACCCCGTATTTATCAGCTAACCCTAGAGCTATTTTTGCTTTCATTCATAAGACGCATTTTTTTCATTGGCAGATATGAAAATTCTAAGTCAGGATTTCGCAGGATCCATTCGAAGCTGACTTTTTACCATTGTGTTGAACATATGGTGTACATATGTAAAGTTGTTAAAGGAGTAGCATATATATAAATATATAAGTGGATATATTAATGACATCCAAGGTAATGTTTTGTTTTTTTGCCAATCATGTGTATCTTTCTGTGTTGCGAAATAAAGCTATTAATATAGAAGTGTGCTCAGTTCTTTCACATCCTTATAAACACCATTCTCATGCCTTTATTTCATTAACACATTGACTACCATGAATTTCACAATTATCTACTATGAATACCCTCTGTAACTGGCTACATGAGTACAATCAGTGATTCTGACTGGCTGCCATAATCTGGTGATTTGCTATCATGAGATAAATTGGCTACCATAATCCTATTAGCATTGCTTTTATAAGTATTACCCAACATAATTTTTAGTGAGTGCTAATGTGTGCATACACTTATCGTGCGCCACCAATGATTGTATAGATATTATTACAAAATGCCCAGTCGCAGTAAGATAGCTTCCCTGCAAGGCAAGTTTAGGGTTGCCGGAAGATAAAACGGTAGGCGGAGTTGTCATATCTGGAGCGAAATTGCCCATTTGGCGACAAAATTGGCAATATGCCATAGACGGATGGGGAACATTCTAGAATGAATTTTTACCGGTTTGGCCCAGAATGTTCTCGACGGTAGGCTAAAAACAATATAAACCCTGCCTGTACGCGGAGTAGCAGTATATCATAGCGTATCGCCGAGTTAATCGTGAGTGCATCTTGAGTGTGTTGAGCTCCGAGAGCCATCGACCGAGTCGGGAGCTGTGCTTATTGTAATAATAAATGGGTATGCCAAATGTGATGATAGAAGTGTGTGATCTAAAAGAAATATGGAATTAAAGTAACTTACCCCCAAAAGATGACACTTCAAATAATGTGAATTACGAGAAATTTATTATATCTTGACATCGTGAAAATTTAAATTAATGTTAGTATAAATCAAGAAAACATATCCAGACAGAAGACAATAGACGGCAAACTACTGCAGCAGTATGAATCAGTCCTACCATGTTGAGTCCTAACCTTTCGTGCACAAAATGAGTAAAGTTCCAATCTAAAAAATCTCAGTTCATCTTCGTTACACAAAGTTACATGATAACAAAATTCAATTTTTATAGCGAAGGACTTTGACTTGAATTACTATTCCAGTATATTTTTGTGGAAACACAAGGCCAATTCTAGCATCAGATGCAACACGTGCACGGGAATTCCTTTCGAGAACGTATCAAGCAATAAAACATCATTCAATACCGCAGAAGTCAGCATCTAGATCAATTTAGTTGAATCTTCATACCACTTACTATTATTTTTTTTTTGACAAAATGCATTCTCTTGAATCTATATGGAGATGGTCTTCAGAAAGGCACGAAAAAGAACAAATTGCAGACACGCATCATCCGCGGTGAGGACGGACAGAAACACGTCCTACTCCTTCGGAGTCTAGCAGCAAAAAAGACAGAAAACCGGTTGTAGTGGTCGCAGTGAACAGGCTTGATGCTGAATAAATGCGGAGGCTTGCCTGTACACTTATGTGGTTTGCCGTGAAGCTTTCTTCACCGTTATAGCCTGCAGCCTGAAAGCTGTGTTGCTGATTGTTTCATCGTGTTTATCGTAGTTTTTCGACGACTGTAACGCGTCTTTGGAACTGTACTGACGAATAAATTTTGTTTTAATTCTTCACCAGCTGTTGTCATTAATCACTCCAAATCCACGAACCGGTAGAACGCAACAATATTGTTTCATAGATTAGACTAATTGATTAAGGCAAAGCAGCTCGAGTGCTACCTGCCTATGAGAAAGGATACTAGCTCGCATTCACACTACAATTGGTGAAAACTACGAAAACTGTCGTGCAACCAGTTATTTCGCCGGGATTTGAATCCTGGGCGAACTAACAAATGTTTAGCGACTTCAACGTTCAGTTCCTAGTGGGCCATTATTACGTATTTTCTGTGAACGTTCCATTAAACTATGCTGCAGCACTTTGATATTGTCCATGAAGCTCAATTTGAGTTGATTAAAATTGTACCGCCAATCTAACTGAAATCTATTCTGGAAGATCTTAGGAAAAACTAATTTTTATTAGTTTTGAAACTATTTTCTTGTGATTCAGAAGGCGTTAATTAATTACTTAATTTAATGTAAGTATTACTAAAAATATTATTCTTGCGATCTTTTTTATTTATACGCATATCATTTTGATCTTTTGAAAATAATCCTTACTTGGAATGCAGCAGCGGGAGGACATTGCACCTTTTCCTACTTAAATCTCAAATTCGAATAGAAATTGTATTAATTAGATCTGCGTAAAATATATCCTACAAAATATATAAACAACTCGAAAAGATAAAGGAATGATGCCCATTCTGGACACTAAAGCGCTGATATATGCAGGCAAACAGTATGAATTTTAAACAAAATTCAAACACAGATAGGTTAAAGTATGCAATTTCATCATAATAATGAAATGAACTCTTATAGAAGATTACAAAAAGAGGTAAAATTCTTTTTCGTTTAATTTCTCATACCCTCTTTAGGGAAATAACCGATGATATGATATAATGTTAGGCAATTAAGTAATATATTCTAGAGAGCAAGAGGATCATCCATAATGTAATGTTTAAAAAATTAATTTAATTTTTGAGGTATTTGTATAGCCATATTTTACCATTTTTTTTCAGTTAATGAAAGTTAATTTTCTTGAACTTTCTCTATGGCATACGGATAATATTTTTTTTTTTTTAACGTGGAATTAGCGTCATAAAACGAATATAAGAAATGAAACGAAATTCTTCTCTTACGGTCTCGAAATAGCTAAATGCGATATCTCTGGTCAAAACTGAATTATTGATTTTCAAGTTAAATTGCAACAAGCATGTTACATTATTACAAGTAACACTGAAACATACAGTAAAGCTTTCTGTTGTATAATATGATTCCTACGCAAAATTTGCAGATGACACTGTTTTACAAATAATTATTTATTTTACTAGCATAATCATCAACAACATCTTCAATTACATTGTAAGGATTATGTTTATTTCTTTAACAGTTAAGTTTTGAGTTAAAGTTCCTTTCCTGTCTTCCTGAATTTGAACTTACAACTTCCGGCTAGAACAATTTTTAGAATCGCGTTTTAATGCAAATAAGGAGAAATATTTAACCATGAAGTTCTACTGACTTCGTTAGAGAGAACCAGTAATTCTGGCTAGCACGCGTCCGCCTTTTTAGGCTACTCTCTCTTAAGCTATTGTTACGCTCGGCCGTACTTAGGCCATTGATAGCTTCGCCGTTATTTAGAGCTAAGGCGCCAACTCGGTTAGAATTTTGATAGCTTCGGCTGTATCTTTTTAGTTAAGATTAGTTAAGTTTAATTTCTTAGTTTCTGAGTTCAAGCCCGAGTAGAGGCTTTATTGTAAAACTCCAAGAAGGAGTTCTGTTAATTTAATTTGGAATAATAAAGGGTCTTTAACCCTTCTCAAGATTTATTTACCGTCTGACGAACTATAGCGTCCATTTCTTAAGATTCTTCTACTTTAACATAAAAGTACACAAACATTTGTTTGTCAAATAGATAAAGCAGATATTTCCACCAAAATTTTGAAATGTAGACTTTTCTCTTTAAATCTGAGTATTTTCCAAATAAATAAATAGATAAAAGAGATATTTTAATGTTACATTTGTATTAATTTGTTGTACGAATTAGTTGATTAAATTTTTTTTTCTTAGTTCAAGTTGGATTTTGGGGTTATCATTTGAATCCCAGTACAATTTACCTTCCAGTTCCTAAGAGCTTCGTAGTGACGGATTCATAAGATTGTATTACTGATTTCATCTTTATTATCTCATTGAATTAGGACTAAAAATCTCACTGCGACAGAGTAATCGCTTCTTCGTATTCTTCGAATCATTCTTGCGCTCTGTGACAGTGAGTATCGCTTTCTGAATGCATCCGTATCAACGTTCCCGAATTTTTTAAATTTGCATGAATATTTAGGAAACCTAAAACTTTTCAAATATTATACCACAAAATTAAAGGCTAATATTTCCATAAGACATATCCTGCATAAAACATATCCCTTCTTTAAAATATGTCTTACATTCTTTGCCACTCTGAATAGGCATGACAATGCAAGAAAGATCCGTGCTTCATGTTGTCTCCATAACTCTGATTAGTTGGCGTATTCTCCCTCCATTGAGCACTTCCTCGCAAACTGTAAATGCTTCACTATTTTTGTTGTAGGCAGAATATGTTCTACGAACTGGACCTTTTGCTTCTGTAAATGCGGCGTACTGTTCATCGAAAGGCACCTTGCATTGGTTCTTCATTTATATTATTCATATTCATATTCCGATGCACCATTGCCCTGTATTGAACTGAACAAGTCTGACAACTTTTTTCCTCTCGAATATCTAAAAGCCATTTTGTATACAGGTTTTTTTCTTTTTCTTTTTTTAGTTTTTTAAAACTTCTAATATATTTTGTAAGCATCTTAAAACTGACATCCTAATAACTATTTATCAATGCAACAATTTCGCTAATGCTGGAACGCCCATTGCAAACGCCTACGAACCTTCTACATTCGGCCAGATCTCCTACCCATTACTTTATTAACATGAAATTTAATTATTTCTTGAGTGTATTCACTGCTTTCGTTCTCATTCAGATTTACAATAAAGCATTAGCATTATATAAAGTTAATTATTTCTTGAGTGTATTCACTGCTTTCGTTCTCATTCAGATTTACAATAAAGCATTAGCATTATATAAGTTAATTATTCTTGAGTATTCACTGCTTTCGTTCTCATTCAGATTTACAATAAAGCATTAGCATTATATAAAGTTAATTATTTCTTGAGTGTATTCACTGCTTTCGTTCTCATTCAGATTTACAATAAAGCATTAGCATTATATAAAGTTAATTATTTCTTGAGTGTATTCACTGCTTTCGTTCTCATTCAGATTTACAATAAAGCATTAGCATTATATAAAGTTAATTATTTCTTGAGTGTATTCACTGCTTTCGTTCTCATTCAGATTTACAATAAAGCATTAGCATTATATAAAGTTAATTATTTCTTGAGTGTATTCACTGCTTTCGTTTCTCATTCAGATTTACAAAAGCATTAGCATTATATAAA